AAAAAAAAAAAAAAAAAAGCGGAATGACTATTACAACAGGTAGTATGGTCAGCGTTTTATGTAGATTATCCATTTACTTCTACAAGTTATCAGCATTTTTATTTCATCATTTATCTCACAGATATGCAAACTCAGGCTCATGAACACACATCTAACACTGTCATTATAACATGCCTAAGAACTAGTATTTTCCCTTCTTAGGAATAAAGAAACAAAAATTTTTTTTCTTGGAGGGGGAGGTCTTGCTACATAGTTCATGCTGACCTTGAACTCCCACCAATCCTCCTGCCTCAGGTTCCCAAGTGCTAGGATCACCAGGTGTGCACCACACTCAGTGAAGAAACCAAATTTTAAGTGAGGTTTACAAACATGCCCATGATCACATCTCTTGTGTAGGCAACAGGTCTGAACAGATTTCATGTGCCACCAAAAATCTAAAATCCTATAATGTAATAGCATTCAAAACCTTTTATAACTAGGTGTGGAGGCACACTCCTGTAATTCCTGGTACTCAGGAGGATGAGGTAGGAAGGTCACAAGCAAAAGGCCACCCTAGGCAATTTAATAAATAAGATCCTGTTTCAAAATAAAAATAAAAACATGTGGTGAGGCCAAGCATGGTGGCACACAACTGTGATCCCAGCACTCAGGATTCTGAGGCAGGAGGATCACTGTGAGTTCCAGGCCAGCCTGAACTGCAAAGAGAGTCCCTGTCTCAAAACAAAAAAACAAAAGGTGTGAGGAAGGTAGCTCTGTGGCAAAGTGCCCCGGGACCTGACCCCCATACCACCACAAATAACAAAAAGAGTTTCGGTAGGGCTAGAGGTGCACTTCAGTGGTAGAGCACAATACCCTGGGAGGGATGGCTATGATCAGGGAACAGCAGTGCAGCAAGGATGTGGAGAACTGCAGCCTTCATCACAAGCTGCTAGTGGGGATGTAGACTGGTGTGGGAACTTCATAAAACAGTCCAGCAGTTCCTCAAAATGTTAAGCACTGTGTTGCCATAAGGCCCAGCACTTCCACTCCTCCATGCCCACAAAGAATGCGCATTAATGACCAGAGAGGCATTATCCAGAATAGCCAAAAAAGAAGACATAACCCAAATCTGCATCAGATGATGACTGAATAAAATGCAGCGACATCCTTACAGCGGAATATTATTCAACAATAAACGGGTGACGTACAGCTATACGCTACAACATAAAGGAGCCCTGAATATGCTAAGTGAGAGAAACCACACACAACAGACCACATGCCGTATGATTTCACTGATACAGAGTAACCAGAATTGGCAAACACACAGAACAGACAGAAAATAGATCGGTAGTTGCCTAGAGTTGGAGGAGCTTGGAGGAAATGGGGTGATAAGAATGTTCTAAAAGTGCTTGTGCTGACAGATGCACAACTGTGAAAACACTAAAAACTACTGGGCTGTGCAGTATAAACGAGAATTACAACAGCCGTGGTGGCGCACACCTGTAATCCCAGCACTCAGGAGGCTGAGGCAGGAGGATCACTGTGAGTTCAAGACCAGCCTGGGCTACATAGTGTGTTCCAGGTCAGTCTCAACTACATAGTGAGATTCTGTCTCAAAAAACAAAAAAAAAAAAGAGGTGGTTTTCACGTCTTTGAAGACTTGAACCTTTTACCTATTTTCTACTAGTCTTCATTTAACAATGGAAAATGCTTTATTTAAATTTGAGATATAAACCCTTCCACACTTATATGGAAAAAATGATAACTTTCTCAGATTTTTTTTTTTTTGAGACAAGGTCTCACTAGGTAGGCCAGTGACCTCTAACTTGTGATTGCCCTGCCTCAGCCTCCTAAGTAGCTGGGAATACTGATGTGTGCTGCCATATCCAGCTGAGATGTTTTTAAATAATTTAAATTCTATCTTAGCTGATAGCGTCACAGAAATACATTGTTCTTTGCTCAAATTTCAAAATACCATCTAATGTGCTGGTTACCTTCCCAGTCAGCACTTCATATTAGCTCCACTCCTTACAGCCTGGCCACGAGATCACAGTGCATACTGTGGTCAGGAAATACAAATGAACACACGTTCGCTGGAGACAGTTTCAACTCTAAAGAGTTCAAACACAACTGGATGTGATGGCACAACTGGATGTGATGGCACAAGCCTATAATCCCAGCACCCACCCTGAGAGGCTGAGGCAGGAGGATCAAAAGCTCAACCTAGCCTGGGCAACTAAACAATTTAACAAGATCCTGTCTCAAAAGAAAAAATAAAAAGAAGGGCTAGGAATACAGCTCAGTGCAAAGGCCCTGAATCCAATCCCTAGTACCACAAAAAAAAAAAAAAGTTCAAACACATGGAAACATAACACACGTGTGTAAATACTAAACTAACAAATGATTATTTCAATCAACATGTACCAAATTGTTGCTAAAGACTTGAAGGAAAAATTTTAAAGTTTATCACCTAAAGATCTCTTTGGAGCTTGGTAGGCTTCTCTTCCCAAGAACAGTCTTGTTTCTCAAAGTGTGTTCCACAGAGCAGCAGCAGCCACCTCTGTCTTATTAATTCCCTTGTTGCTAAGACAAAATACCCGACACCCAAAATTAAGGGAGGAAAGGGTTATTTAGCTCAGTTTGTAGAGGTTTCAGTCCAAAGCTGGGTGACTCTGCAGCAGGGTGGCATGGCAGAGTGGTATCACAGGAGAAACAATTCATGTGAGGCAGCGAATGTAGCAAAGACACAGCTCTTTCTATCCCTTATATCTTACCCAGGCTACGTAGGGTGGGCAGCACTCACACCCTTAATCCTAGTGCCCTTGAGCCTAGCATTGCACCACCAATCGATCCCAGTGTCACACGCTCTAGACCCAGCCACCTCTGAAAAAGCCCCACTTATGACCGTATGAGGCTCTGGGGGACAGCTAGACACAAGCCATAATAGCTTCTCTTGGGGGCTTTTTCAGAAATGCAAGTTCTCAGGGCCCATTACAGCCTCCTCAGCTATGATCACTCTTTCAACAAGAGTCCCAGGGAACATGACTACACATTAAAATTTGAGGAAGCTGGCAGAAGATTCTTTCTTTGTAAAAATTGCTACTTTTCCTGAATGAAGGCAGCTACCCTCCTATTTTGACAACAGGGTCCACTCCTCAGCCCTCTGCTCTGCTGACTCTGCAGAGTGAGTCCTATAGGCAAGGGAGCTCAGGACATCTGTGACACCAACTGTGCCCTCCGGAAGGCTCTCCAGGTGGGCCGCTGTAGTTACAGCTTCTGGCAGAGCCAGTTGCCCCTGCAGTCGGCCTCGCTCCTCCCTCTGTCCCTGCACTTAGGGATGGCAGTGGATTCCGGCTGGTTGCTTCATCTCCGGGTTGCCTCACTGCCTGTGGTTTGCATTCTCAGTTCCCCCACCACCTGTGCCAGGGCCCTGCATTCAGCTCCTTCTGGCTTCAACACTGAAAGAGGCTTCTGTTTCCTGCTAGACTCAGAACGATACACCGTAGCACTTAGATATTTCTATTAGGTACCACATACACCAGAGGAAGTTTGTGAATGGCAGCTCTGCTGCAAAAGGGAGTTGGTGCGTGCGCAGAAAACCTCACATTTCCCACACTCTGTAGATCCCTTACAACGCAGAAGAAAAAGCAGCCTTGATGAGCTATCTGTAAGGCAGATGTGACTGTGTTCCAAAATGCTAGTCCTCCTGGTGTATTTTTAACACTGTACCCATCACTCCCCCTCACCCAGAGCAGCTGGTGTAGCAGCTATTGTTTTAGAGGGAAAAAGAAAAAACACCTTCTGCAGAACAAAATTCTGGCCTCATAATGCAATCTCAGAGGAATGGAGCCTCTCTCACTGTGTCCAGGATCTCACACCTGTAATTCCCAGTCTAGCTCACAATGGGCAGCACCCTCACTGAAGGACCAAGCAACAGGAGCAACACCTCCGAGCCCCTCTGGAAAGCACACTTCACCGGTACTCTCAGACCTGGAATCATCCTCTATGGTTCCCTCTTGCTGTCAAGGCCAAAAAGCCAACCCTCCCCAATGGGGCCAACCCTTCAAATTCTCACCCTGACCTACCTTTCCAGACTCTTCCAAATTCCACTCGAGCTCATCACTTGCTGACTCAACTTCTGGCCATTTCCAGGTGCACCTGAATTATAGACGCAACACTGGAATATGGGGAGCAACACCCCCTCCGTGGAAAGCTGTATCCGAGGATCCCGCATAAAAGGGGCATCTTCATCCCCGCTGCCTCCTGGGGCTGCAAACTTCTCTGTCCCCTGGGCTTCCACAGCGCTCGAGTTGCAATGTTACCTGCACAGGTTCCCATCTAATGGCCTGGATCCTGACTGGTTAGGACCCAGATCTGCGCTTCAATTCCACTTCCGTAAGGCCAAAATGACAGATATCATCTGACTCCCTGGGTTACCAACACACTATGCTAATCATTTAAGGTGCCTAAAGCTAACCCAGAAATAAGTGCTGTCACAGAGTAAGCACGGAAGAACTGCTATATGCTACTGCTCTATCATTCCCAGTACCATGGTGGCCAGGATGGTACCGGTGCTCAGTATGCATCTGCCGAATAACTGCGGCACTCCACAACCAGCCTGTTTGTAACACGTTAGGATCTAACAGGATCTAGGACTCCCGGGTCCGAGGTATCCAAGATAATGCAAGAAAGGGCTCCCGCGGTAAAGGGACTAACTGGCTCCGGAGGAAGACCGCACTGCAGCACGATGAGACAGCCTGCGCCAGCCGGAACTGCCCCACGGGGGCAACCTGCTGCCAGCCACCTGTACAGCCTCCTGCCCACGGATTCCCTGTTCCAAGAGAGAGGGCTCACCGAGCAGAAACCAGAAGCAGTTCTCCCCAAGCACCACAACGGGAAAACAAAGGGTGCAACTTTCATCCAGCAGAAAGGACACGGGTCTTTCTGGAGCGAGCGAATGCCTGCCAGGTGTCCGGATCGTCCCAGGAGTTGGTGCCCTGCGGGTGCGCACCCCCGGCTCCCCCGGGGCGGGCAGGCTGCACCGCTCTGGGGCCGCGCATCCCTTCCCTCTAGGGGTGCAGGGGTGAGGGGTGAGCCAGCGCCTGGGAAAGGACCGG